AACTAAGAGCCAAGCAATGGAGTTGACCAAAGACGGCATATTCATATAGAGAGGAAGAGAAAATGCCTAAGGATTTCAGGTATCGGATTGACACTGATGTAGATAGAAAACCGGGATTGTGGCCACCAAAGAATAAGGCTGATAATCCAGCTCTTCATAATCCATTGCTTAGACAAGAAAGGATGGGTTGTGGATGGTTAGCAGCTATATTTGAATGGGAAGGTGTGTTAACTGAAGACAATCCCGATCTTGAGAAGCAGGCATGGTTAGCTCTATCTCAAGAAGAAGGAAAATCAGCTCCTCCAGGTTTCATCTTGAAAAGAATTGAAGGAATGAAGAATGAGCAAGCAATATCGGAAGTTTTGTGCTGGTCAAGAGATCCCGTTCAAGTGAGGAGAATGGCTTCTCGGAAGGAGGAGATCTATCAAGCCTTGCAAGGGGGTATTTATAGCTTCCGACCTGGATCACAGGAGTTTGTCAATACCCTGATGCACTACAAGGTGCCAATGGCTTTAGTGTCTACACGGCCGAGAAAATATGTCGAGAATGCAATTGGTACCATTGGCATTGAAGGGATTTTTAGTGTTATTGTAGCTGCAGAGGATGTTCATAGAGGGAAGCCTGATCCGGAGATGTTTGTCTATGCATCGCAGCTTCTACAATACATACCGGAGAGGTGTATAGTGTTTGGGAATTCAAATCAAACTGTGGAGGCTGCACATGATGCTCAGATGAAGTGTGTTGCTGTTGCAAGCAAACATCCGGTGTATGAGCTTGGCGCTGCTGACTTGGTTGTTAGGCACCTTGACGAGCTCTCGATTATTGACCTAAAGAACCTTGCTGCTGTTGAGTTGTCTGAATTTGGATCTGCTGAACCGGAGTTGGAAATGGAGGAAGAGGATGATCCTTATCCTCCATCCGCTGTGGCCGTTGATGATGGTTTCTGGTAACATCTCTGCAATGTACAGTAGTTGTGCTTAATAGTACATTCAAATAGGATATAGAAAAATGTAAACTAATATGCAAGTGTATCAAAAGGTGGTCTACATTGGGCTGCCATTTATGTGACTTTGTATGTGATATTTGTATTATATGTATATCGTGACAGTCGCTACTTGCTTTTAGATTCTGAGATATAACTTGTAGTGTTTTAAAAGGTTGGGACAGAAATAATAATGAGAATAAGGTGCATATGAATGGCTGAAAGCTTCCTCAGTGGAGAAAAGGACTTGCAACGCAAGCACTGCTTTGTAGTTGCCTCGTCGAAATCGTATTTATCCTTTTTAGTTGTTGTGAATGTACTGCAGATGCTTCTTCTTAGCTTGTTAGCTCATTACTGTTTCCTGGGTTTCTCTGGCTATGTCCATGATTTCTGCTGGACTGAAAATAGTGGAAGTCCTCGAGTAATGAAGGGTTACTTCATAAAATATCTCTTAGAGAATTATGCTGTATGTGAGTGTTTTACTCCTGATTTCCAATAGTTGTGATAATGACTATACTTCGTTTTTGTTAAAGCCTCGTGGTCAGGGGGAATATGTTTTGATTCTTCTGGTTCATTTTTGATCAGCAGTAGGTTCATCGTGCTATTTGTAGTTCATTTGTTCAAGCTTGATTGTCATCAAGAAACTACTTTCTTGTCTTCCCATCCTCTTGAGGGGGTGGGGGTGGGAGGAGGGATTAGTATCCTGCACACCCCAAACAGATCATGTTAGTGATAAAGTGGCATATATTTTGATGGTTCGTGGTTGGAGAGGTGCCTCGGCACAGTGAAGGGAATAACCGCGAAGAGTTCAGAATTTGCTCTACTTTGGCTGGAAAGCATTCTGTTTTGAGCTACCTTTCCTCATGCTGCACATTCAGTGCTTTGGTTATAAAAATGGAAATCGTGAGGCAGAATATTCTATTTTGTTTAATGTCATTTTTGGGGTGTTGGATATTTTGTTTGAAATGTTACCTGCTTGAAATGTAAGATCTTTATCTGCATATTCAGTGATGTTGGTAACTCCATTGTTTTATTATAGCTAAAGTTGGCAAGTGTAGGACTGTAGATCTGCTATTCTTTAACGTTAGTGGTTTGAGAGTGCAATGTTTAGGCTTTAGCGACATCTATATAGAACACTCTTCAGTGTTTTCATTTTCTGTTATAACTGCTTTTTTTGTTACGACAAAATGTGAACATGACCTAGAACAATTATGTTACTCGGACTCTTCAAAATTGCTGACAGGTGCGTGTTGGATTCTCCAAAAGTAGTGCATTTTTGGAGGATCCTACACGGGTGCAGCGACACAAAAGTAGTGTATTTTTGGAGGATCCGACACGGGTGCATCGACATTTTTAGAGAGTCCGAGCAACATAGCCTTAGAATTAGAAAGCCCTTTACATGTATCCTTTAGTGAGATGTAGTAGGAATCAAGTATGGGCTGCAAGGGGTGTACATAGGTTGGGTGAGTTCGGAAGCTTTCTTTGGAGAGCCTCTTTTGTTGGGCTCGGCGGCCCCAATCGCAAGGCTAGATCCAGATCCTTTTGCAATTATCAAATCAAACCAATTGTGTCGGGTTATTAAATCTAAAGATTAAACCAAATCAATAAAATTCGGGTTTTTCTAAATCAACTTTTCTCGAGTTTTCGGATTTTTCGGGTTTTTTTCCGGTAAAATCTTCGTAGCACAAAACATACAGCTTGTTCTCAAAATATTTCTTTAATCCTAGTAAGATGCAACTATATTAGGTATTTTCCAACAGAATAATATAAAATTTGAGATGTGTCACAGCATTATCTTAAAATATTCAACAATAAAATTATGTAATATAAATATATATTGCTAATTAGAAAGCCATAACAAAAATAAACATAATCTAAAAGTACTAAGTCATGCTAAAATAAGTAGACTAATAAGGGAGTATTAATTACATGACTAAACGCTAAAGAAAAATAAAAATAGATTATGCATTTTTATCTAAATTATTGAGGACTGCCTTTCTCGTGTTGTGCTTCCCTAGGTCGAGGTAAGTAAGGTACACGAAGGAAAAGCCTATTCGACAATGAAAGTGACCAAAGGTATTCGTTTTTCAAAAAACTTTAGCTTGTACACAAACACAGCAAAACAAAAATAGATATTCAATACATTGTCGTTCGTAGTATTGAATTGAATGTCTTTTGTTAGCATTAATATTGATTTGATTTTGATTTTGACTTTAGTTAGCATTATTTTTAAATATATCTAAAATTTTTATATATGTAATGTCGGGTTGGTTTGGTTTCGGTTTGACTTTCTTTAGCTAAAACCAAACCAAA